GTACGTAGCAAGAATGGGAGCTTGGTTGAAGAGGGAAGCTTAAGGGGAGTGGGGACAAACTAGTTCAAAACCCGAATGCCATTGAGGTCATGGCTTCGCTATGTCAACAACAGTATCCAATCAAACGTGTCCATCATCCTTGGGACCCTAGCTTGACAGTCAGGAGACGATAACCGACGCCTAGTTCGAAGTGAAGGTTTTCATTCCTCTTGACTAAGTAATAGCAAGGCCTCCCCTCCTCTTCTTCCAACCACATCCGCGGTGCGCAAATAATCTACCTCGCGGACGTTGGTGTGTCGGCATGTGCAGCAAGTGGACAAGCAGTCTGAACCTGTTGCACGATATAGATGTGGCGAACAGTTCACGCGCTCTTACTTCACCAAATACGCGACGCCGAGCATTCGCATTGCTCACCCAGTGCTCGCACCAGGCGAGTTAAGTTACAAAGGTACCAGGATCACAGTAACTTTGGACTGGGGACTAGTGGACCATAAGCCAAAACTTGAGCAGTTTTGCCACCGGTCTGAGAGCAAACAGACATGTAACGCTTAACAACAACGTGGAATTCACAGGACCTCTAATGAACTCTCACACCGAGAAGTGAGAGTCAAAGCAGATGGTTTTCAGTCAAGTTACATGCTATCGAATTAGTGGGATCCTCACGCGGTCCGGTTGATTTCAACCGACCGTGCTTCATTCACTCCTGGTATCCTAATTGCATTGAATCAGGCAAACAGGGGAAATCAATTCCGCGGATTGCTGTGGTGACACACAGAGCAGCTGCATGACACCATAGCTAATGCCTGTACAAGATGTTGCCTTGGGTTGCATGAAACGTTAGGTGCATTCACAGATAGGTTGATATGCTTGCGTGTTTCGCATGCGTTTTTGGTGGCTTTTTCAGGTGGACCACCATTTTTGTGTTCGGTCGTGCACGTATAGGTTTAATTTACCATCAGTATGCAATTCCATTGTATTCGCTTTGATGATCATTCTTCGATTATAACGTCAATGGTGAGCATAACCGCCAGATGTACAACTGCACCCTCTTTGCATGGAGCAGAATGAGTTAACTCCCAATGAATGCTTCGACATGATTATTGAACTTAAATGGACTAAAAGAAAGGCCTGAGCCCGATTAGTTTTTTTCGTCCCCATGTTTGCTAGATACCTTATAGGATGCGGTGTTGTTACGGAGTCACTAACACTATAATATTCGCTCCTTAATTTCTCATGTTCAGCTAATCCAGTTGACAAATTAAATGCCTTTCCCACATATACTGATTACTATTACTTTACTTGTTTTTATAGATATTGTCATTAGGAATACTTAAACCACCTGACTTACGACAGTTGGAATTACTGTGTTTCGTTACATGGGTGGCAATCGACATACAGAAGTAAAATGTGTGGCCGTCGGTGTAGTACCTAATTTAGCCCTATCTAGTGGCTGCATACAGTCAAGACCTGTGGCAGTCACATCGCTACTGACCTGACGTTTGCCGTCGTTTGCCATGTGCAGTATGGTTGCTCATGACGAGAAAGTCGTCAGTTCGCGTACGCATCTGATGTTCCCTTCAAGACCTCAACTTCTGAGCAACTGCTGATCGTTTATGGGGTGCTCAGGTTTGTCGGTGTGTTAGCTTTAAGAGCTTCTTTCGTCACGGAAGAAAGGAGAGCTTAGACATCATCCCATGCCGACTGGTGAACAACTTTCCCTAAATTTCACATCAATGAGTTTATTGAAATCGCCGATCCCGTATAAATCAACTTGTGTTAACCCAGGGATAATTTGAATGGAGACGTGCGAACCACTGATTACTCTGAAGGCCTACCACAAGTTGTACAGTCAACAATCTCAGATACGTAAGTAACACAGGAATTATCAGCATCTGACGGGAACAAACAATATTGCGTAGAAAGGTAATATCCATTAAGTTTCTACGAGGTACTCGTGGTACAGGGTGTCACGACCCTAGCCAATGCTACGTTGATTCATTGGCTCATGGGTGCAATACCTGTTGACGGACGGGGCTTGGGCTACAGGACAATGGTGCCCCCCATCATAATACAAGGGTCTTGCTGCTTCCAAATCATGCTGAAGATCGGTGTGCGGCTGAAGGTATACACAGCGCAAGCACCCTGTGGGCTAGATGTGAGCACTAATGTCCGTTCACTTGAAAAACGTAGTAATATATGTATCTGGAAACAAGCGCTGTCAAGTGATGCAAGAGGAATGTATGTAACAGGTATCCGTCTTAATACCATGTTGAACGCGGCTCCGTGTCAGTTCTATTAACTTTGACCGTTCTCCATTTTCGTTTATTTACAACAGGCCGTTTCTCGCTTGCAGTCCTGAATCAGGGAAAAATTCAGTGCAAACTGTTGGTGGTGCTAATGATAACTTGTATATTCGGTTGTTATCTATCAGTGGATATCCTTAACTCGTTAATATTAACTAAACTAATCATGATTTTTGATGGGTATTAGGTTGGTCGAGAACAGGGCGACTGATCGCTGAATATCATGGTCGAAGATCCTAGCGAGGCTCATTGTGTGAAACACGTACGCGCAATGTGCATGCAGACACAAGCAGCGACGCACAACGATTCCATCACGTGTCCAATGAAAAATGCAGTCATCCAACATACTGTAAACGTGTTACACCAACTTCCAATGACTACTCAAGTCCACTCGGCTGGCCAGTACTAGACTAACCAATGAAATTGCGCCTCTCCCTCTGTAGGCAGGTAGCCTCCCAGGCAGCAGATTGTAGTGGTCAGTTCACTGACTTCGGTCCTTTCACCGGCGACGTGCCCGTCGAGATGGGTTTATGCACAAATACTATTCAACGGAACATAAGAGTATGAGAATTGTTATGCGAGATTGTGCTGCACTGACTCGCTCCTATGATTCACAACCCAAATGAGTTAGCTCACACGTTGGCCACAACTCAGCCGATGCCGGACACGGAAAATAGAACAGTGGAAATTCCAGAATCTGTTCCACGGAGTCCCTACTCAGTCGCCAAGACGGAACTATTCTTTCTTGGATTGACCATCTTCTATTACACATTCCTCGTATTTCTTGGTGTTTGCGGATGGATTCGAGCTCGCATTTGTCTACACCTTAAGCATCGCAAACAACGCTTTCAAAGACCGCCCCATTTTGAAATTGGTCCAAACCAATTACACATTCGTTTTGTGGAAGATGATGATTCCATGTGATCGGGTAAGCGGAGGCGGCTAGAAAAGGAATAATCGACACTCAGGTTGCGTAAGTGCTTCAGGACTACTTTGCAAGAGTTAAGGTATTTGTCTGACCTGCCTGAGTGTTGCATACCCCTCACATGTCCAGCACAGTGTACAAATTCTTTTATGCTATTTTGTAACTGTATAGTTTGTAGCCCATGATACGAAGAAGTTTTCCTCCTCCTGATGTGAATTCCAGACATTGAGGCAGCGTACTGCTTTCTGTCAACCTTCGGGGTACATGTGGATAAGGTACATTACTGTTTATCCTTCGCAGCCTGGTCTACTCTCGTGTGTGCGTGTGTGTGGGTGGGTGGATTGGTTTCCGATATGTGTGCGCTATCTTAACTTACATACGAGTCATACAATTCCCAGCTATAGGTTGGTCAGGATACACTCGAGCAACTGAACCGGTAACATCTTAACAGATGCTGGGAGTCGAAGGATATGTGACGTTTTGGGTTCATATGCTGGCGCAAGTCACACACCCAAGTAACTTGTAACAAAGCGGAGGCGGTAGTCACGTTCACTTTAAATGTCTTGTTTTACCCGAGAGAAACGTAGGTTTGTCAAGAGGTCTAGTTTTATACAGATAATGCGCATCAAGTAGTCCATACTCCTTAAGGTACACATTAATTTTGAATTCCGATTCTATCACTCACCTGTGCTCTAAGGCACCGAAGGATACTTGTGTGGTAAAGGGTTTTCTAGCTAATAACATGAGGATATCTAAGGATTCGCTTCGTTGCATAGAGGATTCAAACCAGTCGGTTGTTTTACAGTGTGTGTTCCCACCTCGGGATGCGGATGACAGTGTTGGATCGGTCTCGCAATGGACAGGCGCCAAACTACTCGTTTTAATAAACTATTCAATATCCAAATTAGTTGATCTACCTACCAGGTAGTGTTTGATGTTGACATAAACTTGTCATCAAGTCACTTCAAACGCTCCCTTATATTTATGTAAAAGCTTGACAACCCTAAAAACAACACAGACATACATCACCGGGTAGGCACCGATCGTTGAACTCATGTATGTTTGATCTACACAAAGCGTGTTATAAGCTTCTGTCAACCTATCATAGTTGTCCATCATCCCATCGGCTATGCAGTGTAGACGCCGATCTAGGTGAACACAGCTGAATTCGGATGAGTATGAAGCTTGGTGCTGAGGAAGATAACCACAGTGTAGGGTAGCTACCGATCTCAGTGCACGTAGACTAGCGAAAGGAATCGTTAATTACGCCGAGTCCTTCTTTCTCAAGCCTCCTAGGCTAGTCGATGATGTGCGCATCAATAATCCTCAACACAAGACATCCATTTTTATGTCCCAATCGTTGCGTTATAAAAGTAGACAACAATTAATCATCAATGGTTTCATAGACGTTTTCAATGCAGTTTACACTACGACTGGCTTTTCTGTTTTCTGGCTCGCTTCTTCCTTGAGTATCATTTTGCACCAGCACTAGTTCCATTTGATGCTAACGTATGCAGACGCGGCTTGGGGAGACCTCTCGTCTTAGTCGATCTCTCCTAACCATCCCGGATGCAAGTAACATATCGTGGTCATGGTTCTGCTAACGTTTCGGTAGCCTTATTTGTGTGCGCTCATAGCGCCTAGCGTGATTCAACCAATCAGGTTAGGTGTGTCACTTCGTGCTGACTCGTGCCATTGTGAAAGTGTAACGGTATGTAAACGGTGTTTGCCAAGATTAAGTAACAAAACAATGTGACAGAACAATGGAACAATAATTTAAAGCGAGCAAAATAGCTAAAACTTAACATATCTCGTAGGATAGCCACAGTGAACCATGTAAACTATGGAAAAGGTGTCAGGAAAAGTAAGTTCACAACGCAGACGCACCTATGATAGTATTAAAAACTGCAAATCCACTGCAAGTTCATAGAGTAACAACAAACGGGGTGTTTCTAATGACTGTCACAAGAGGTGAGAAGTGTGGAATGTATTCTGCGAGCTGACACTCATGTATGGGCATAGACATCGTGTCACATGCGATGGTACAACGAAATGTATGCATAGTAAACTTGGGTTTTGGACTCCATTACGGTGTTAACACACATGACTGGATCCGTTGGGATATTCCACGCTTGGCAAATACGTACGGAAAAGAAATTCCGACGGCATTCCAAACGGTTGTACTGCTCAGTCATCTTGCGTGGATGGCCTCAGGTTATTTTCGGGAGTGATCTCCGGCAAGTGGCGACACGTGTGGCTGGGTTAGTAATTGAAGATAACTTCTCCATGCGGTCCCCTGAACCGTCTGCTAAAGATCCCGAGCACTAGAAGCCTTTGTTCCTAAGGGAAATAGTGCAAGCGTTTGATATTCTTGGTTACCCGTCGTTAGGTATCTACAAGGCAGTGAGATCTTTCCTCAAACATGAGTGCGAAACCTATATTGCGTAGTTCACGTGTGCGCGTATGTATGAGAGCAGTAGCTCTCAGATCGAGTTGTCCGAATGCAAGCCGCAGTCGGCCCGTTTCGGTTACTACTTCGTGATGCATTCACAGCTTGATTCCAACAGCCTACGTCTTCTTGGATCAAAACGCTAAGATTCTTTTCGCCAAAAGACCTTTGAAGCTCCTGGTTAGCGATTATGTACGAGCACACCAGCTGGTGTCGTACGTGCAGCCTGTACAATTTTCCACCTAAAACCGATAACGTAATGCGCGTTATGCGCTTCTGGTAAACAAGTGGTTGCAAAAACTTGCAAAGGAGTAGTCCTCAAGTTATATGTTCTTGAAAGCTTTCATTTTAAAGATATGTTGGTAAGGTTTGTGCTCTTTCAGTCATTACTTCATTCGCCGAGGTGCATATCAAGCCGGATTTCACCGGCCTTAATCCCGGTTGAATCAAACAAACGGTACTCAAGGTGAATAACCTCCCAGAAAACATTTTATCCCTGGTGCAGATTTTCGCAGATAATGCTAATACGGGAAGCAATTCGCTAAGCATGCGACCGTGATTATCTCCAAAACGATCGGGACCGGATTGACAACTGGGCAGAAATAACCAACTCTCACTGAACCCTGCAAAGTGCTACCTGCTGACGATGCGTAGCAGCTACAACAACACGTATCTTCTGGGACAGCGCGTTTTGCAACGGATGACTAATGAACGAGACTTAGGTATCATCATGAAAGATGGTCTTGGCAATTCGCACCAATACTCGAAAGCAGCGAATGTGGTGGACTTAAACATAACGGTTTTGAGGCTGGCTCTCGACACCTTTGAGCGACGACTAGTGCCACTTTTGACCAACGCGTATTTCGCCCCCAGGTTAAATACGCGGTTCAGGGCTGGCGCCCATGTTCAAAACGAGATATTCGTCTCTTGAAGCAAGCCCAAAGAAGGGTCACCAAAGCAATGCTAGCCTATGAGTTCTCAGTTACGAACTGCGCCTTCGTTTACTCGGTGTGTTCTTTTCAGAACAGCGACGGCTTTGCGGAGATCTCATTCTCACATACCGGATACTAACTAACAGCGAGCCTCATGTATATCACTGCTGACCCTAGCCTCTTACAAACAATGTCGAGGCCATCACCTGAAACTAGTAAGACGAGTCTCCCGTATAGATTGTAGGAAGTATTTTTACACCCTTAGAATCTATTCCCACTGGAATGCATTACCAATACATGTTCGAGATTCGAGAGACTTCTAGACTTTCATCTGAGTATTAAACTCTACACAACAGTGTGATAAAGTGCGATGTCTTTAAAACTTATGATCCACGTTCCACGTCGGAACATTTTAGATTTTAATTTTCTTGTGTATTTTCTATCCTGTGGGGCTTGTAACATTACGCTTTTTATTCCATCATACACTAACTGTTGAACTATCGATCTGATGATGAGGGTGCGATGACAAGTATATCGATTTTGCTAGTATAGCAACCATGACTGTTTTCAAAACTAGAAGAATGACTCGAAAGCTTAATGTACGAAGAAATCGCTCCGTTATTCCCTATGATGTGGAATAGAGCAACCGGCCCATTAACGTATTAACCATCCTTCATAAGGTGGGTGACCATAACCCAACCGGTCCAGATGTATCATTCCCTCTCCAAGTAACCTTTGCACTCTTGCTTCCTTCAGTGGTGGGTGTCTTGTAGTTGAGAAACCAGTTACCTTCAGGGAACTCGTCGAAGGATGCAATACCGTAGGTCAGCTAAATTTCTCTTATGTTTACATCAATTAAATTTCTAACCAGCTAGTGCTGAAGGCGAATGGATTATTCATGCTTACTGGCAGTTGTCTCCAAGATATCACTTTTTGGAGCCTAAATAGTTCAAGTCGCATCCACCGAATGCTGTTACAAGTCACCCCAAAGACCCCGTCATTCCCAGCCGCCCACAATAAATTCTTAAGGTTCCGATCGGCGTTTCGGCCACACTAAATCTGAACTCTCTGTGGAACCATTTTCGGTGCCTTGGTCTACGTGCACAAGACATTGAAAGCCCTCTCACCATTACAATATTTCAATTTGGGTGAGCAATTGGTTTCCAGCGCCGGGATGGACATTGCCCTATCCACATAGAATAATTGTTATTTAATTAACATCCGATTTCAAGATGACGGAGTTAATTGGCGGTTTTCACATGGGTATTTCAATCACGCTTTATCAGCGTGCTTAGAAAGAGTACGAAGCCAATGTATAGTCCAGGAAGTCCCCGAAATTAATAAAGCATCTCCAAAACGAAAGTAGCAAAAATAATGCGTATTCTTTCGTATACCGATTTTTGCACGAACCTTTGTAGTTCCGAGTGTGCCACTGCCTGCTTTAATAGATAGAGCAAAGTAACTCGTTAGTTATTTTCTTATTGTGTGTTTATTGTATAGAATTTCCATCATAGTTTATCTTCAGACATAGGTAACGGTCACCTGATCCTGATGTAAACTAGAGGCCCACATGGTCTGATACTTAAGTACTGACATAATTCCTTTTTACTTTTTCCGA